AACAAACCAAACTCTTGAGCCCCACACCTAAAACACTGTTACACTGATAAATCCACGCTTGTCTCGAAAACCCCACACCTGTTCCGAACACCCTACACCAATGCCAGACACTTAGGCTCCATAATTGCCGACACTCAAGCTTTATTGCCACCGAGAACCACCCATGTCTGTAATACCTTCAACGCCGAGCAACATCGGCAGCCTCTTCTTGCTTCACCTCTTGAACCACTTCTTCTGCTGGTTTCTCCTCCTTAACTCAACAAATTCCTTTCTCTCGACTTCAACCTCCACTGAGATTGCTGTTGGTGCCTCCTATATTGCTGCTGCAGCCTCCTTCTTTGGTTCTTCTTCAGCAGCCACTAGCTCTACCTCTAAGACTAGGGCTGTTGGTGCTGTCACCACGCTTGTAACTTGAAAATCCAGTTTTCCATCTTAAACTTCTCCTACAGATTTCCTCGCCCAAACAACTCCATCGGTTGATCCTCACCAACAACGTTGAGCAGTCCTTTCATTGTTAACCTGGCGCCAATCTCCTCTTAACCGAACACAAATACTGACCACCATAGAATTGAACAGAATTCACCCCACAAACTCCCACTCACACAGGAGCGCCTGACTGGGTTTTCTGGTGAACTTTGGATCCTCCACCCCTCAAACTCCTGCTTGTAAAGAAATGCCCGAAATGAAGTTCCTTAACTAACCCACTCATGAACAACGCAACCCCCCTAAACCGAAACCATGGCCGAAGCAAAACACCATGTCCGAAGCACCACTTCCACCGAACCTCTACATTCGAGAAAAACCCACCAAAACCGCCTATCAAAGCACCACTTCCACTTGAACCAACCCACCAAGCTTTCAGACCACCGGAAAAGATAGACCTGAAACCACCCAAAGGAATGCTCAGCCAAAAACCCCAAAGAAAACCTGTGAAACCACGCAACCTAACCAAAAACGAAAGGACTAAAATAGCATCCTAAGCAAATCTAGAGATTAGATCTGAAAAGGAGAAAAACGGAAAGCAAAAGGGGGCTCAAGATTATTAGGATAAAAAACAACAACACAAGAAAAAAAACTAGGCCAGCCAACCGCCATGGCCAAAGGCGGCGGCCGGCTAGCCAGTGGTGAGGCCCGAGATGGAGGTTTTTTAGAGAGGGAGTTTTTGACCATCGTGGCTATGCTAAAGCTAAGCAAAGAACAAATCAACAAGTTGAAGAACAAGGCTAATGAGTATCGAAATAGTGAGACCAGTACTAACAGCGCCTTTACAAGGTATGAGAGTGTTACTGCTCATATGTGGAGGTGTGCATGCAAGGCACGTCAGCATGAAAGCGAGCAACTGACCAACATTCGTATCGCTGTGGATTTTCGTAGCCGTTTGCAATCATCATTGCCTAAGTGGTATTTCGGTTGCACTGTCTTGCCAGTAGTAACAACCCCTACCTCAGGGGACATTGTGTCGAAACCATTAGGTTATACCGCGGAAAAGTTAAGAGAAGGTATAGAGAAGGTGACAGATGAATACATAAGGTCATGTTTTGTTTTTCTGAAAAATGAACCAGATTTATCCAAGTTTCGATTCTTTCATACTGTTGGAAGTAGTCAAGGAGCTTTCTATGGGAACCCAAATATGTCCATTACTAATTGGACTAGGCTACCCTTATATGGGATGGATTTTGGGTGGGGAAAGGAAATTTGCATGATACCCGGAGCAATCGGATATGATGGGAAGGCATTCATCCTCCCTGGTCGTAATGAAGATGGTTCTTTTCTTATCCCATTGCGTTTGCAGGTAACACATATGGATAACTTCAAGAAGTTCTTTTATGAAGATATCTAATGTCATGTTAATGATTACAGAAAGTTTATGACTCACAATTATGTGGTCTCTGTGTGTGGGCTGCTATAGTGGCTGCCGCTGCTTTTTATGTGTAATGTATGTTGTTGCTATTTCTTTGCTGCTGTTGCTAATGTATGTTGTTGCTGCTACTGTTCCTCTGCTTTGTTTCAGTTAGTGTTGGCTCCTCACCAACATTGTGATTTATTCCTCTATTTTTTTTCTTTCTTCTTTCCTCTCTATTAATGTAATTTCATATGTAATGTATGTTTGTTTTCTTCATCAATAAAGATTCTATCAACGGTTGCACTTCGATCCAAAATCACATGAGGGCTTTCTGGCTATATTTGAACCATATAGGGATAACGTGCACTGGTCTCAAACCACAAGGGGTAAAATGAATTTTATCCTTTTATATATTGTGGGCCAGATTGACATAATTTAAACATCGAGGATCAAATTAAAACACTTTTATATATTGAGGATCAAAATTGACACAATTTAAATGTTGTGGGACCAAAATGACAAAAGACTCATACTTTGGGAAAAGAAAAAATACAATTAACCTGTTGTTATAATTGTTATAAGGGTAAATTATACTAATAATCCTTACATTTTGTCACTTGTGTCATTTTGACCCCTACACTCTCAATTGGCTCAATTGTGATATTTAATTTTGGATTTTGCGTTAATATAATCCAATAGATAAAACCGTTACGCTTTTTTACAGAAAATTATCACTTAGTTGAGTTAGTTGAGGTTAAATCACTGAATTGATCAAGTGTATAATTTTGTGCATGAAACATGCTACTCATGTACGCATTTGTCATAAAAATAAATTCTAACAATTGAAATCAATTAGATCAATTTGAAACAACATCAAAAATTTAGAATTAAAATTGAACAAATTGAAATTATAACGACTAAAATGAGGCATGATTCAAAATATAAAAAACACAAAGGTAAATTTCCCTTGTTATAATATTTATTCTAATAGAACTTCCTCTAATATTTTTAACAAGATTCACTGCAACTCCATGGGTGCTGAGTTCCTTGAAGCAGAATCCGAAGCCAAAATTGATGACTTTGGGGACTTCTGTCCGAGTTCAAAGACTAGAGCACTCATACCATCAGTGGACTATGACAGACCAATTCATGAACTACCATTGCTTTTGGTTCAAGTCACCAAGTTTAGTTGTGGTGGATTTAGTCTTGGCTTGGGTATATCACATGCCCTTGCTGATGGTGAATGTGCAGCTCACTTCATCTCCGAGTGGGCTAGAATCGCTCGCGGTGAAAAACCAGAGAACTTCCCATTTCTTGATCGAACAATCTTACAACTTGAGGATCCTTTGCCAAAAACAAGCTTTGATCACTCAGAATTCAAACCACCACCGCTCTTAATAGGCCACTCGAACAACACAGAGGAGCGAAACAAGAAGACCGTCGTGGCTATGCTAAAGCTAAGCAAAGAACAAATCAACAAGTTGAAGAGCAAGGCTAATGAGTATCGAAATAGCGAGACTAGTACTAACCGCGCCTTTACAAGGTATGAGAGTGTTACTGCTCATATGTGGAGGTGTGCATGCAAGGCACGTCAGCATGAAAGCGAGCAACTGACCAACATTCGTATCGCTGTGGATTTTCGTAGCCGTTTGCAATCATCATTGCCTAAGTGGTATTTCGGTTGCACTGTCTTGCCAGTAGTAACAACCCCTACCTCAGGGGACATTGTGTCGAAACCATTAGGTTATACCGCGGAAAAGTTAAGAGAAGGTATAGAGAAGGTGACAGATGAATACATAAGGTCATGTTTTGTTTTTCTGAAAAATGAACCAGATTTATCCAAGTTTCGATTCTTTCATACTGTTGGAAGTAGTCAAGGAGCTTTCTATGGGAATCCAAATATGTCCGTTACTAATTGGACTAGGCTACCCTTATATGGGATGGATTTTGGGTGGGGAAAGGAAATTTGCATGATACCCGGAGCAATCGGATATGATGGGAAGGCATTCATCCTCCCTGGTCGTAATGAAGATGGTTCTTTTCTTATCCCATTGCGTTTGCAAGTAACACATATGGATAACTTCAAGAAGTTCTTTTATGAAGATATCTAATGTCATGTTAATGATTACAGAAAGTCTATGACTCACAATTATGTGGTCTGTGTGTGTGGGCTGCTGTAGTGGCTGCTGTTGCTTTTTATGTGTAATGTATGTTGTTGCTATTTCTCTGCTTTGTTCTTTTATTCCTTTTTTTCTTTCTTCTTTCCTCTCTATTAATGTAATCTCATATGTAATGTAGGTATGTTTTCTTCATCTTTTTACTGATTAAAAAAAAAAAATTATCTCTCCATAGTATTTGACAGAAAGGTTGTTACAAGGTTAGATGAGTATTATTTTAAGTTGTTTGAACTTGAACTTTTTATTTTCTTTGATTGAAATTTGTAGATGGGTTTGATTATGTGTTGATTGATGGGGGCATGAACTCTCTATTTTATTTTTTAATTTTTTTTTGATCGACGAAAGTTAGTGATTAGTTATTAAATTAACATTTTGAGGGAGTTAAAACTCACACTCATACAACTTGCAAGAAAATCTTGCCCTCTCATTTTACTCATAAAAGTGGAATTCAAGACATCCCCTTTATTAGGAGAGACTTGATGGCAAAAGGACTCACTAATTAGGTTAGAGCCCCTTGGTTAACATCAACTCTCTATAACTTTGCCTAATGGAACGGGTATTTGAATGTAATATTAGGCAATTCTTACATGAATTCCTTATTTAATAATATTAAATTTTTGGAAAATTTATTCATAAATCTTATATGAAGGAATATTGATTCATTTAGTTCTAATAGTTTTCTTATGAATTAATTAGTCTTTTTTGTTTTGAAAAGTTAGATTTATTTGATTTGGTGCCATTTGAGTTTAAGTAAATACCATTTTACAATTCATTTTTATAATTTTTTTTATTCATTTTTTGGATGGGAATGGAAAGATGAGGTTGTGGAAAATTATTTTCGAGTGTGGAAATCTACATTTCTGGTAGTGTGGTTTTCTGGTGTTATATTGGAGTGTCACATTAGAATGTTACGTTTGAAAAAAAATACACTAAGGAGTTTTTGCGTGCTACATTGATTGGGGTGTTACGTTTGGAAAAAGAAAAAAGTATACTAAGGAGTTTTTGTGTATTACATTGATTGGAGGGAAAAATACACTAAGAAGTTTTTATATGTTACATTGATTGTAGTGTTACATTCAGAAAAAGTACACTAAGGGATTTTTTTGGAATGCTTCGTTGTTATGTTTGAGAAAAGTACATTAAACAATTTTTTAGTGTGTTATATTGGAATGTTACGTTTGAAAAAAATACACTAAGAAATTTTTTAGTTTTACATTGATTGGAGTGTTATATTTGAAAAACGTACACTAATGAGTTTTTATGGAATGTTATGTTGTTGCGCTTGAGAAAAATACACCAACAAGTTTTTTAGTGTATTACATTGGAATGTTATACTTTTGAAGTGTTATATTTAGAAAAAGTATACTAATGAGTTTTTTTAAAGTGTTATATTTAATAATTTTAATATTATAAGAAAACACACATTTGTTCCTCAAGATATAACACACGCACATTTATGTTTAGTCCTTTATATAATTCACACTATAATGTGATCTTTAGGTCCATAAGAAAAAAAGAATGACCAAACAGCTCATAAAATCACTATTTAAGATTTTTTAGTCCTTAACCCAAAATTTTTTAACTGAAGTTTTTCTAAATATTTATAATTTATTGTCCAACAATGATTCATCCCACTAAAAATATCACCACTAATAGCACTAATGCATTAAAAAAGTAAAAAAAATAAAAATAAAATACAACTCCAAGACCAAAATATGACATCATTAATGACGAGACCCACTACCACCTAATTAGTGGGAGCACTAATTACTCCTCCCAAGCATTTTTCTTTATTGTCCTTTACATTGAAACATTCTTGCAAAGAATAGGAGTTTTTTATTTTATTTTATTGTTACGGAAAGAGGAAACTGTTAATCACGTACTCCTTCATTGTCCTCTAATTTGAAGGGTAAAGTCACTCATTTGAAATTGGTGGGGCCATTCAATGGATTGTATCAGATTCAATTGATGGGTTGATGAATGGATGTGATGGCGTCAGAGTTAAGAAGCTGGAAAAGGAACTGTGGAGAGCAATTCCTAATATTGCAGTCAAGTTGTTATAATTTATGTGTGGAAAATTTAGGGAGCATCGACTCTTTTTGTCAAGAAAAAAGATGGTGTGTTGTGATTTTGTGTAGATTATCGAAAGTTAAATTGGGTAACTATTAAGAATAAGTACCCATGCCTCGTATCAAGGTTCTGAAAAGCGGTTGCGGTTGCGGTTGCCGTAACGGTGGCGGTGACGCAGTTGCGGTTGCGGGGTGTAAAGGCCGTAGTGTAACGGTTGCGGTAACCGAAATCGTGAATTTTTTTATTTTTCGCACAATTTGAAAAAACTTACCAATACGCATATTTTTTTTCCATTATCATATTTATTGGGTTAAAAATAAATATTAATCAATTTTTATAAATTTTTAAGTATGATCCAATATATTTCATATTTTTAAATCACTATAAATTGAGTTTTTTATATTTTATTTTAATAATTAATGGCTTTATATTATACAAAAAATCAATCACTAACTATTATATATAAGATAAACAATGACAAAAGTAAGAGAATAAATAAGAATCTAAATATATATATATATATATATATACATATTTTAACCAAGCCAAATAGATAATGACCACACTTATTAGTATTATTATTTCCAAACAATATATAGATAGACACACACAAACAAAATGGTTTAGTGATAGCAGTTGAATAGAATAGCATAGGTTTTATAGCTTCAACAAATCAATAACATGTTCTTCATCTTCCCTCTTCTCTCTCTCTCTATCTCTTGCTCCTTCATTTTCTCTCTTTATCTTCCCTCTTCTCTCTATCCCTCTTCCTCCATTTTCAGCTTTTTTTTTGTGTTTTTTCGAAAGAAACTGGTTGATGAAAGGATGTGATGGCGTCAGAGTTAAGAAGCTAGAAAAGGAACTGTGGAGAGCAATTCCTAATATTGCAGTCAAGTTGTTATAATTTATGTGTGGAAAATTTAGGGAGCATCGACTCTTTTTGTCAAGAAAAAAGATGGTGTGTTGTGATTTTGTGTAGATTATCGAAAGTTAAATCGGGTAACTATTAAGAATAAGTACCCATGCCTCGTATAGATGATTTATTTGATCAGTTGAAAGGGTCTTGTTGCTTCTCTAAAATAGACCTGAGATTGTGTTATCACTAGTTAAGAGTAAGGGATGAGGATATTCTGAAGACGGCATTCTATATGCGGTATGACCATTATAAGTTCCTAGTGATGCCTTTTGGGCTAACAAATTAGTGTATTTTTCCCAAATGTGACAATGTGGTGGGTACGATGTGACACTTCAAAAAAAAAACTCTTTAATGTACTTTTTTCAAACGTGACAACGTAGCGGATATGATGTGACACTCTAAAAAAAATTAAAAGCTCCTTAGTATATTTTTCCCAACATAACATATGACAATCTAACGTGGTAGGTATGATATGACACTCTAAAAAAATTAAAAACTATTTAATGTCTTTTTCACAAATGTAACACTCTAAAAAATTCTTTAGTGTACTATTTATCATTTTTGTTTTTCATGGAGCCGCATATCAAATGTAAGTGTTACGTTTAGAAAAAGTACATTAAGGAGTTTTTTTAATATTTTTGTATGTGTTACATTAGAGTGTTATATTATGCTTGGGATTACATTGATTAGAGTGTTATGTTTGGGAAAAGTACACTAAAGAGTTTATTTATTTTTTTACGTTGAAGTGTTACGTTTGAGAAAAATATACTAACGAGTTTTTTATTTTTTGTTTGTGTGCGTGTATATTACATTGAATTGTTATGTTTATGAAGAGTGTTACGTTGTTATATTTGAAAAAAGTGTGCCAAAGAGTTTTTTAGTATGTTACATTAGAGTATTATGTTATTTGACTGTTACATTAAAGTGTTATATTTTTGTTCATAATGTGAAATTTGTTCCAGAATGAGGGAAAATCCAAAACTACTATAGTGCGGATTGCTCACATGTGTAATTTTATATTTGGAGAAACCCACTTTTATCCATAGAAAATTAAACCCAAACATGTAAGTGACTACCCTTTTGTGTAATTTATACTTTAATAGGACAGTTGAATTCATATTAAAAAAAAAAAAAAAACTAAATCATAATATCACATTTTAAAATTTATTAGTATTTCATCCTAAAATAATTTCACAATTTATAATGAATTTTTAAGGTGCCGTTTGGTAACACTTACGTTTTCAGTTTTCTGTTTATATTTACAAAAATTTAAAAAACTCAAACAAAAATTTGTTTGGTAAAATTTTTGATTTATAAATCAGTAGTCTCAGTTTATAAATTTAGCCAAAAAATGAAAACACAAAAAATGTGTTTCTATTTTGAGTTTTCAGTTTTTTTTTTTTTATCACCTAACATTAGCCACCATTAAAAAATCACACAAATCGATTCTTTTTTTAAAAAAAAACCAAATATAATCGATACGGTCTATTTCAATTAGTTTAATCGATTTTTTCAATTTTTCTTACATCCTTAATAATGTGTATGATAAAATTTTCCTACAAATATATAAATATATGTGTCTAAAAATTGTCCATTATTTTGGAAAGACCACGTGAAAGTGTTTCCAACTAACAATATTTTGTGATTTTCTCACGTTTTATTTTTTAAAACCATATAAATAACTTACTTTTATTGAACGAGCACGTGGCCATATAAAGTTTTTAGAAGAATAATTGCTCATGTGTGTTAGGCATTTGGGTATGATTTTAGTTCTGTTTTCCATTCTCAAAAACGAAAACCAAAAATTGTTACTAAAACTTTCGTGCAAATTATTTCCAAAAATCACCTTTTTTTAAGAAAACACTACTATTTTTTGAATTTTCAAAAATTATTTATGCACAAAATGATATGTAAAGTTATTTCCAGGATTTTTATTGTTTATATATTTATAAATAAAAAAAAATAAAATAAAAAAAGAAGAATTTGAACATAAACTTGAGAAGCCTATAAAACCCACCACATGTTTCATTTTGATGATCCATACCGTTCATATTTCAAGATTTGTTAAGTAAAAAATTTATACAAAAAATAAAGATAATCGGATATCGATAGCTATATATTTAAATCAAATTTGAATTATAAAAAATGAAT